GAACACACAAATCAGAGTTATGCTATACTACTTGAAGACACACAAAAGTAAATGTAGAATCAGAAAATTCACCATTGCAGTAAATGTAAGGTAAGCGGGCAGTCATACTTGTAAACAATTATAGTGGCTAACAATGTCGCAATTATAATAGAAAAATCTATAACATGAAAGGAAATTTCATATGTGGGACAAAATGTCAAAATAAAATGCATAAAGAAAACCAAGTGTATATTTTCATCACATAAAAATCAATATTTGTAAAAAAATATTTTGTCAGTTATGCTTGTCAAAAAAGCAAATTGCTTGATCTAAATAGACAATTTTTTTTCCCTACATACCAATCTCTCAGGCAGATACCTTCCAGAGACCCATTAAGTCCCATGATTATTGATCTGAGCAAAGTCTTGATCCTAATCAAATTGTTTCTTCATCTCATCTGCATGCATCACTAAAAAGCCCAACAATTTATTCTAATTTTCCACTGCCATGTTGGTGTAGTGGAATATGTGTGTATAAAAGAATTAAGTGAATCTTCGAACATGGATCTTCAAATTTTAAATAATTTTTATTTGAGAATCATTTTTCTTTCAAATTGAAAGAAATGAATTACAAAGATTCTTTGCGAAAAACCTCACAAAATATTTTATATATCTTTTTTACAGTACAACCAAATGAATTACATTAGTATAGGATAAACAGAAAGTGTGTTTATATCTGTGTGGATGTATGTGACATGGATTTACGTTGTTTTCTCTGTATAAATTTACAATGGTTGACTGCATGAAATAGGCAGGGAAGCTGTTCATGCTTATAAACAAACTTATGTATAATTTCTTTTTATGTGTCAATATCGCTAAGCATTATTTTTGTAATATTATATACTTCAATAAATATGCAAAAAATGTGAATAATTAAGTGTGAGAATTTCAGTTTTGTTTATGTAACAACTGATCAAATACCTTGGTCAAAGGTTTACTGAAAGACTAGTAGCGGACAAGAATTGATCACATTTATAAAAAAAAATCAGCTCCAAAAGAAAGAAAAATTTAGATTTATTAATCTCAAGCTTATTGTTTAATAAATATTTTCCCTATTTTTAAATATCCTTTTTAACTAGGGAAAATATTATTGATCATATTCTGAAGTGAGCCTCCAGATTATGGCATTGCCACACATCTCTTCATCTCAAATTTAACTTTTGAAAATCATAGAACTGTGAAACTGGTAAAGTTACTCAAAATATTCTTAAAGACTCCAATTGCATTTTCAATGTCTTTTCTTTTTATACAGAAAAAAGGTGGCTCTGATTGCTATCTCTTTAAAATGCAATCTGATTGGTTAATTATGATCCCATGAACAGGCAAAGTAATTTTTTACCAAAAATTGATGATCATATATGGCACAGTGGAAAAAGGTGTTGGTTAGATCCAGTTACAGGACCCAAAGAGTGTGAGTTCAATAATCAGTTAATGCAGTGGAGAACTTGGAGAGGGGAATTAATAGGAGATAACTGATAACTGACATCCATTAAACATGGCACGTGGAACCAGAACAGTCTACCCCAGTGAGCGAAATAAAGGGTTTAGTTTGACATTCCAACCACCTGAAGAAGGCTGGAGCGTACAACAGCTGAAACATTGTAATAAATATGGCGATAAAGATGAGGACAATAGTCCGAATAATGTAAATATTGTACATAATAC